TTTAAATGTTGTAGGCTTGAAGGGTGTTGTCGATTATCGAAGAAGAGCAAGAGATGACAAGATGAATTCCATATACTCCTCTTGAAGGTGAACCTAACATTGAAGAAAAAAATTTTGAAGCAAAATTTACAAGAAACTTAACGTGTTGATTTGACATTAATTTACACTAAGATTATTTCGTCCACCGTTTATTATGAGATCAACACTAAATATCCTTAACAACTTTATAAAGTAACTACTACAATAAGAGCCTATAGAAGTGAAACGCATTGTATTACGGTGCTTTGAGAGGCTTAGGATAGCTCATTTAGAGCATATTGTGGGAACCAAACTGTGCTGTTATTTTGTAGTTCACAAACACTAATCTAGACGGATCAAACTTTTCTTCATTTGAAAATGGCTGAAGAATCTTTAACGAATGCATTGGGGTTCTACTTCTTTTATGACATAATATTATAATATGATCGACTTCCTCCCCATATTTGCGACTTTTCTTTCTCACCATCAATTTCCTCACCATTTGTCTTCAGGGGCCTTAAAAAATTCAAACATGTCGGCCACTCATTCAGAAACTCTAAACTTTCAAATGCATCTCGATTGGACTTCCCAGTTTATGGGGCAGTGCGCTAGAAGAAATAAAATTTCTGTTTCTACGTGTGTGAGTGCCCACTACTATCTCCGGGAAGCTCAGAATCTGACCCGTACTAACTATGTCGAAGTTATTTTGTTAGAAGTTCAATCTGGGCAAAGATAAGCTTTGTCTTTTTAATTGAATTTGGAAACTTCTGTGAAAAAAAGAGCATGTCACCTAGAAGCACAATTTCCTGTAGTAGTTGTGTTGCGTAAAGAGGAAAATTAAATTTTAAATCTTTGAAGCGCACCTATCAGTCCACATATTTGTTTATCTGGTTTGAGCAAGGATTTCCTTCGTGAGTCTTATTTCCATGGGACATCGTGAAGTCTCTTCACATATCATGAGCCCAGCTTTACGATTTCCCTTTAAATGAAGGCGGTGCAAGACAATTGCTTAAAGTCTTCTTACTTCATCAAAATATAGCGCGTTCCATTAATCGCGCCCTATGTATGATCATCTCTGTCTCTTTTGTCTCAATTCCCCAGTTTTGTAGCAAATCCTACAGATAATTTTTAAAAAGTAATGTTCATGCTTCATCACATTTGAACTTCACAATCTTTGATCTCAAGTAACTGCGCCAGTTTAAGGCTAGGGGAAAACCGTCTATTTTTGTTAAATAGAACTTGGCTCAAAAATATGTTTCTCCTTGAATAACATCACCTCTTAACAGTATGAAAATAGTCCTACTTATACACACCAAATAACAGATAATGATATGATACACAACTGCTTGATTGATATGTTTTTAATTCAAATGACTACAAACGCCATCGACAAGGTATCAGCAGACCGCTTACTGAAAGGAGCATTTGGTGGGACTTGCTATCACATTTTGGGTTAGGATACAAACTCTGAAAAACTTAACAATCCGTCAAGCTGAGTTGCTGTAAACAAGCATTCGAAATCACATATGCAAGCATATTCTGACAACATTGACGCTATTCCTCTACCACTAGTTCTAAATTTCTCAATATAATAAATAAGGATAAATTAATAAATTGATACAAACGCTGACAACTTAGAACAAGAAAAAAGATCAAGTTGCAATAAGCCCTAAAAATGGCTATCTGGAAATTTATGCATTGTAGGCGTTGCTTGTAACACGTCCACCTTTCCCAGTCCAATTTGTATGGACAAATTGTCCTGGAGCATCCATGAGCTCGTATGTGTGGGCTCCAAAGTAGTCACGTTGAGCTTGGAGGAGATTAGCGGGCAGAACCTAGAGAAGTTTGGATTAAAATAGGTTCTTAATACTTTCGTTAATATTTAGCGCATATTTCTATTACTAATGGCACATTTTGTTAATGAGCAACACTGCATGTATCATTTTACGGATAGATTGAAATCTGAAGAACTTCCTAGTGCTGCTTTATTTCTAGACACCATAGTTGTGCCTAAACCTGAAAAGGCTGAGCGTATGCCTTCCCTTCAGAATCAGGAAATAAGCCTTCAAGGTATGGGAGTTTTAAAAGTCCACGAAATCGAGTAATACATATCTAAAAGGACCGAAAATCAAATCAATAAACTGTTCAACTCTTTTCAATACCAAGGTCAAAAAGGTGTGTTGCATGTGTTAAAAGAAGAATTATACCATGGAGTTTATGTGATCAGGCGCTCAAAAATCTCGCGCATAATGTACTCCACTTCTATATGTCGAACATCTCAACTGCACAAATGACATCAAGTAGGTGAGAGATTAAGACTCACTTTGCGTGAGTACCCATCATAGAATGCTAGCGCTGACGACATTGCTGGTACAGGGACACCCAACCGTATTGCAGACGTCACTACCACTCGCCAAGACGTCTGAAAGATCAGTTAACTTAGAAATACGGGAATCATCTAAAACGATAGCGGTTCCTACCTGCGCATCAGCCATTGCTTTTGAAAAGAATTCGTCCAGCAGGAGGTTAGGAAGAGTGGGATTCTTATCAAAAGCTTTTTTAATTTCTCCAAGGAATCTAAGTTCAAAAACATACAGCGACCGAGTCCGCAATTATGGAACAATATACCGACCTTGATCTGATGATGCATCCACCTCGCCACATGAGAGCAATTGCTCCAAAGTTTAGCTTCCAGTCAAACTTTCTGCTAGCCTCTGCCATTAACATGAACCCTTGGGCGTAGCTGACAATCTTAGACGCATAGAGAGCCTAAGCAAGCGGTTTATGATAGAAATAAAGAACGCTTGAAAGAAAAGTTAGAACCTTGCTGATGTGCTTGATGAAGTCTCGTTTGTCCGGTATGATCTGATCATGGTTGACCTGTGGTCTAGCCAAACGTTCTGATGCCACCAATCGCTCATCTTTCAACCCTGACAGACATCGAGCAAACACTGCTTCACCAATTAACGTCACAGGTATGCCGTATTCTTGAGCAGCAAAGCACGTCCATTTGCCAGTTCCTTTCTAAATGTAGCAAATTAACTCAAAGATATTAT